CCAAAAAAAAAAAAAAAAAAAAAAAAAAATCAAAGAGGGATTTCTTGTCTCAACATCACTCATCTGGTTTTCTCACTTGCTAACATGATCCAACATACTGGTTTATAAACACTTTCATAGTCTCTTCTGTATACTGTGCTCAGTGATGAACACGATGTTTTTTGAGAGACTTGGAACACCACCTTGGTACCAAAATTTCATTCATCAAAAAGTCAACAGTTTTGAACTGTCGTATATCCTGTATCAACATGTTAAACCTCTAGGTCAAGACATCCAGCTTAAGTAAGGAGGTGTTTCATAAACAAAGAGCCTCATTTTCCCCTTTGCACAAAAGAGAGGACAAAAACCTAATGCTAAATGGAAATGGAGCACATCCCTAGCCTCCACTAGCAGCCAAGCCCCATGACCTAACAGGTAGGAAGTTACCAAGATTCATAAGGATTAAATGATACATGCATATGAGGCCAAGCAGATGCCTCCGAAACAGCCATTTGAGATATATTCTGTGCCTTAGTCCTGTCTTCACCCTTTTTACGTCTCTATGTCACTGTTAAGAAAGAGAGAACTTGAATTCTAAAGACTAGAATGAAAAGACAACATTCTTTCCTCTTCACCAACCCAGTGAGGTTTGCTGAGTGATAAACTACATACTCCTTCTGTACTTTCCTTTTTAATTGTGGTGTCAGCAGATTTTATGGGAGGAGGGATGAGGGAATGGACAGGCTCACTACCCAGAGCAATATCTGGATGCAATTATGAGACTCCACTGGCACTACTTTAGGATCTGCAAGTTGGAGCAAGTTGCTCTGCTCTTAGATGAAGGATTAACTGAACCAATTTCATCTAAATAAATTTGCACTGTTCAGATTTTATGCTCATGAAGCAACCAAGTCACTCTGATTTGTGACAATACTTCCCAGAGGTGGCCTTGCAAGGTACAACAGACTAAACAAGAATTCTAGTAGTCAAATGAACAGGAGGGACACAACCATCCCCTTCATGTCCCTAGCCTCCACACCTGCCTTGCACAGCCCCTCCCTGTCCTAATCCTAGAACTGCAAGTATGGAGTTAAGCCTGGAACAATCAGGAGGCCAAAGTTCTGAGCCAAGTCTGGGGCCTCAGCCCAGTCAGCAGAGCACTCTGCACATTATAGGTGCTTAATAAATATTGTTGACTCACTGCTGCTAGATGCTAATCATGCGTATATAGCAATGCCTAAAATTATTTATGCCACTTTTCATTAAAAATTAAACTACCCCCATATAGACTAAAAATGGGCGAGATTATGCTTTCAAATGAGTCTGACTCAGATTGTTAGGTTAGAGTACATTAAACATGATTCAAGCCTTGACTTAAATTAATCACCATTACTCTGTATGCTCAGTTGTATGTATGTTTTCATTCAGTTGTACATGCATTGAGGAAAGAAAAAAAAATAAAACCACAGACTTAGGACCTAAGTACAATGACAGATTTGGCTCCCAGGGGGGCTAATAACGACAAATTAAGGTTTCCCTAGGGTTCCTACTTACACCCAGTCAATACACTAACCCAATAAAAGGTAAATGAAGTGCTTTCTTTGAAAAGTATAATGCTGAGGGTTTATAGAATCCTCTCATCTTCAAAAGACCAAGCCAAGACTCACAATACCCAGTACACAATATTATGCCTTTTACATAAGTGCACCAACTATGAAAGAAAGGTCATGGAAATGTCCTAAGGCCATAATGCCAACGCAATATCAGATTTGGGATGAACTTTCTGATCTTCTTGGCTCCTAGACCTCTATTTCAACCACGTAAATCAAGCTCTGAGGAACAATCAGGAGAAATCTAATTCACATTGTATTATCTGTATTAAGTTAATTGATTGGGCAGGAATATATAAAAATAGTGAAGACTGTTTCCCTTTCAGGGCAGTGATGAGTGAAGAGGATGTAGAAAGGGGGGTAGGGTAACCATCTGGGGTAGAACGAAACTGCTCCCCAAACAGAAGAAAAGTAGGGGAGGAGAACTCCCTATTCCGCAACCCCCTTCTATAGGAAAATTGCCAGAGAACTGATTAGACTACTGGGAGGAAACAGAATGGGGGTAATGGCAGCCCTTGTGGCCCAACTTGAGGATCAGACGAATCAACCTCTACACAGTACTCGTCTACATAGTTTCCGATATATTCCTTTATAAGTGCTCCTCCTTAGAGACCCACAACCATCACCATCCAACAGCCCCACACTCAGAAATCCTTGAAAAGGCAAAGTGATTGAGAAGCCTGGGAGTGCACCGGTTGATGGGGAAAGGCTGGGGGTGGAGGGCTCCGGTGGGAGATTTGGGTGGGCAGGTAGGCGTTGTGATGTAGGAAGAAGGTGTGTGATCATGAAGGCACGTAGGGGAGTGCGGGAGAGAGAGAGAAAGTGAAAAGCCCAAAGACCCCAGGAAGCCCAATTTCCTGCTCTGAGAACAAACGCCTCCGAAAAATAATGTGCTGCACACCAAGTGCGAAGTAATCATCACCAGTAATGCTTCTGTAAATCTACCCAGCCGTTATTTACTTAATTCTTAGAGTCAGGAATGGAGAAACCCCACCTCTCCCTGGTTCAGTTGCAGTCTGTCCTGCGGACATATGTAAGTTTTCCCTCTCCCCCACAGAGCTGGTCTCACAGCTAGGCCAGAAATAAGCAACCACCCAGACGAAGACTCGAGGATCGCTCCCCCGGCTGAAAAGGGATTAAGTTTCGCCGGGCCTGCCCGCCGGCAGGGTGTCCGCGCCGTCGCCGGCTGCTGCGCCAGCACGGTCGGGCAGAGGGCTGGCCGAGGGGCGCCGCCCGGGCCGAGGCGGCTGCCGGCCGCGGGAGCGTGGGAAGGCGGCTCTGCCCTTTCCCAGAC